ATATAATTCTGTATAATTCACTTAAAGTTCATGATAACTTAATGTCAGAGGGCACATCTGAAATATAATTATATATTCACACTAAGCATAAACAGTTTATACTCTGCCACTAATAGTTTAATTTTAATTTTGTTACTAGGAACAGATGCAGTTATTAATTATTATTAAATTTATTCCTGAAAGATTCTTCAATTGCAATAATTCTTAAATATGGAATTTAAATAAAATTGACCAAAAAAACCCAAGATATTTGTTACTTATTTGATTTGTATGTGATAATTACAAATTAAACAGAGAGGAATTAGTTATCACAGATCTATACATCTATTTAGTTGCATTAACACCCAGATGTTTCACCACTGACAGGAGTGGAGCTTTAGAAATTATTTATATGAAAAGAAATAACAACATAAAAAGTTAAAATTGAAAAAAATGATCTCTTCCATTTTTTCAGGTTTACTTAAGCTAGTAATGGCAGAATATCATTATCAAAAGTTGGTGGGTTAGAGACTTACACAGGATGTTTTTGTGGTCTCAGTTATTTTCCTACTTGCTAAAGTCTACACTGTATAAATTAATATTTCAAAGGCCAATGTGGTTGGCAGCTTTAAATAGAGAAGCCACAAATGGGAGACTTTCACTAGCCTTCATTTGCTCTGACCAGCATTGAATCACCAGATGTGTGATTGAGCATTTTCTTTTCTTTTCTTTTTTTTCATTATTTTGTTACGGTAGAAAGGGTGGGACAAAAGCGCATTTACTGTTCACATGGAAAATAATATAATAATTAATAAATAATAATATAAAAGTAAACTCACACATTCAGAACTGCAAACCTACTTTTACCCCACACTGTACTTGGCGAATAAATGAATAAAAATCCTACTTATATAGAAGCCTTCAAAATCAAAATATGATTTTTTAAGTTAATACAATTTGAGAAGCAAAGGCCATGTTATATAAGAATCAGCAAGTGAGAGAACTGATACCAAATATGAAGTGACATTTGGATAAAAGGTATTGCAAAGAATTTATAATTTCTTTGCTCTTGGTGTACAGTATACATATATATGTATATTCTATCTACACATACATATATATACACACATGTTTTATAGATATAGGTACAATATATGTGTGTTTATATATACTCTCTCTTTATATATATTCCCCTACACATTTCATTTTAACTGTGAGGAGATTTTTAGTATGAGGCAAATTTTATTCTACACCATTATGTAAATATTTGAGATACCCATGAAAATTTCCATGGGACTCAGAAGATCATACATATGCATGTGTGTGTGTGTTTATGTGTGTGTATATATATATATAAAATTTAAAATAAGAGTGCCATTTTAAATCAATAACAATTTTATTTGTAATGCACTTATTATAATTCATAACCTATAGATTGCCAGAATACTTTGCTCAGCTATAAAATATTAATATAAAGTTTTGTTATTTGTATGTTCACATATTCATATATTCATATATACATTACTTATGTGTGTGAATGTGTGTTTATGCTTTGGTAGAAGTAAAAACAATCTCTGAAAAGTCAACAAGTGTAATAAATAATGAAGTAAACAGTTATTCATATTAATTAAATTATAAAGTGATCCTGACACATTGAGCAAAAACAAATTAAAAATCTACAAATTTTACTTCATAATTTTTAATTTAATATTACCTTCAAGTCTTATAAAACATCTATGGTAATTTTGATTACTGATAATCTTAATCTTAAAAAAAAACAAACAATTTGACTCTTGGAAAAGTAGCTCTAGAGAGTGTGAAAAGAAAGCCTTTATAATGTCTACCATTTTTTAAGTGCTATTTACTAAGTCCTCCCAACAAAGGTAAAGTTAATGCATTGATTTAACCTTTGGATCCACATGATCACCATTCAGACTTGCATGTGTCTTTGATTTCTCTTAAAACTGAAGCACACAATGTCCTGGAAAAGCTCATTACACTGAGTGATGGAACATTTGTCATTTGTTTAAAACCCCAAACCTAATTTATTTCCTCGTGATTTCCATAGTTTTTTCTGAAGTCTTCATTGTACCACACATTCCAAAGGGAAGATTACATGATATTCTGGTATTTCATGAGAAAAGTGAAACTTGACTAGTTTTGTAGAGAAAATAAATCATTTTGCACCATGTTGAAAAAGAAGCATTTTAACATTTAACTATATTACATATATTTAAGGAAGGCAAAAGTATCTTTGAGTGAATGTTTCTTGAGGATAATTTGTATGTGACTGCTGAGATTTACAGAGTTCTCACATTTGCTACCCCCACAAGGATTCTAAATCAGATTGGTTCAGAGGAAAAGCCAGCATACCCCATTTTTCTAATATTATCACTTCTCCAGATGGTCCTCAAACACCTATTCAATTCCTTTTTCCTAGAAAGAGGCACCTTATTAGATATCTATATGCATCCATTACAAAAGCTGCCTTCCTGTTCTTCTTTTTCTTTCTCATTTAACATATCAAATCTCTTTTATCGCTTACCAGAAAGTAAGCACAGTGGTTGCCTAAAACTTTGTCTTGGGAACCTGAGCAATGAGAGAGTTCCTGGTGGATCTTTGAAAACAGTGACCATGGGAAATGAGGGTTGGCAGGGATTTAACTCTTCATGAATCATGCTGGAATATTTTTAAGGGCAGTGCAGGGGAGGTTTTAACTGTTTGACATCTAATTAAGGAGGGAAAAGAAACAGCTGAAAAAAATGTCTATTTTAGTTTAGAAACAAAGTATTGATAATTGGCAACTAGGCCTTTGCTTTGGCAAAACAAGTGTATATGGAGAGACAAAAAGGTAATGACAGACCAATAAAATAACCAGAAAAATTGCTTGGGCCATTCCTTTTATTTTTCTTGCTGTTGCTCATTCCACAGTTTATTTTACCAAATTGCCAAGCTCTAGGTATATCAATAGAATTGTCATATAGCTGTAGGGCAGTTTTTGATTTAAAGGAAGGCAAAAATTATTATAATGAATACCATTGCTAAAATGAGCTCATAAAGATAGTGTCAAATATACATATGTTGTCAATGTATACAGCTTACTTCATCAGACAAGTTTAAAACATATATACATAACAAAGAGCTATTCTAATCAAACGCTATCTTTTTAATATGTAGAAAGAACTGGTGCCTCCCCTATAATGGAAAGCAATCTATTCCCAGGGAAATAAAATTCTTGCAAAATAAATAAGGATAATTCTCAAGCCTTATTTACTTTATAATTTATTTAGCACTTTAGACAAGTAACTGCAATTATAATAGATTTCATATTTCAAACTAATTTTAAAATTATAGTCATTCACATCTTCAGGAAGTAAAGTTGCATGCAAAACTTACTTATAAGGAATAAAACTTGCATAAAGTGGACCATCAACCTAAGGATTATTTGATGACATCCTCTCAAAGAGTGAAAATAGCAAAAACTAATGAAAACAGATGTCATAATATCATATACTATAAATAATTTAAAGACAGTTACTAAATAGAGATATAATAGAGATTTAATTAAATACTTACTGAAGTCTATATATTTTTTAACATCTTAGATGAGTACAGTTGCAATGCTGTTTGCTCATGTATAAAATTAATTCCCATTTTAATAATCAAGGAAATATTAAACCAAAAATAAATTATTTTCCAATTCAGAGTACTTTATCTAACAACTATTAAATCCAAAAAATGACATTTAAGAGGTGTCTAATTTTTTAATCCAAAGTGTGAAAATTACATCTCTCTTTCCTATTTGTGGTCCTCATTCACACTGGACCATTCAGAGAGATCATTCCCATTATGTGAAAATTAAAGAATCTGTTTTCTGGCATAACAGCAATATACAGTATACAGACATCTCTACAAGAGTTTCAATAAATTTGTTTCATGTTATGGGCTAAAAACAGAACATAATTGAAGCTTCTCATTGCCCCACCCCCTATTCTAGAAATCTGAGAATCATAAGAAAGCAACACCTTAGAGAGTAAAACTACTTGAGTTAAAATAGTTTAATCTTAAATTCCACTTTAATAATACCTCTGTTGTATAAATATTTTCTTTCACTAAAAGTTGTATCTATTATTTTGGAATCCAAGTTAGAATTATTTTATACATTTATCTATAAAAATCTATCTAAACAAATATAGGACACATAGTTCCTTCAAAACCTTCATTAAAAAACAAGCATACACATTAAACTCTGACCAAATAAAGTACTAGCAACATGATAAAGCTTTTATTTTCCTTTTTAAATGTATACTTTTTTTTTACAAAAGAAGTTCACACAACTAGTTCTACAGCTAGGAAGTAATGTATCTTCATTTCTCATTGAAGTGCATGTGGAATTAAAATAACATTATATTTCAAAGGCTTTGCTTTACACCAATTAACCAAATACACAGTCTTTTGTACAATCATAACACACTGTAAAAAAATCTAGTCTGTTCTATCCAGTTTATATTCTCTTGGCAAACCATGATCTACTGCTTATGTTAAGCATCTGATTGTCAGATTTGAACAAACTGAATATTCATGAAGATGATTAACCATTTAGTGTCTAAAACTAAGAAAATACAATTTATCATAATTATTATAGGTGAGGCATGCACATATACAAAGAGACCATTTTGCAATAGTAGTTTTAAAAATATTTTAAAAGTAAGATCAGAAAAAATTAACAGAGCATATGAGCACATATACAGATCAGCATTTACCAGGCATTCAGCTCCTCTCTGCAAATGTGATTAAATGTTCTTTGTTTGTATTTAAATTGTCCTATCAAACAGAAGACATGCTTTTATTTAAAAAGTGCTTAAATCATTTCAGAAAGACACACACAGTCATATAGGTTCCCTAGGTTAAACCAAAGGTTTTAAGGTTTTGTATGGGTTGAGAGGGAGTCCAAGGAATAAAGAGGGGTGTGGGGGGGACCACAAAGCTAGCCAAATAAAAGAAAAAAAATAAAGATTTACCTTTGTAGGATAATTTCAGCCTTGGCACATTGTTCTTCCCATTTTGATAGTTTGCTCTCGCTGTAAGTAATACTCCCCAGAAAAGACAGACAACCTTAGTGAAGCAGCCCATGCTGCAGACGCTGTAGGTCCCTATGCTGCTTCACGCTTCCCTCCTGTATTGTGCGGCCAGAGAAGTTCAAACAATCTGAAAACTGGAGGTAACAGGTGATTTAGGTCAGTTTCATTCATAAATGCAGACAATCAAGACTTCACCGCAACACTAACACCTCTTCTTCTGTAACAGTCACTGAAGCACAGAAACTTCAAAACCTCAAAAAAAAAAAAAAAAAAAAAAAAAAAAAAAGCGAGGCAGGCACCGGATAATGAGGCACAACTGTTGTGTGGAAAGAAAAAAAAATTAACAAGGGCTGCTGCAGTGGTGCTTAAGAAGCAGTTCCTTTTATCTAGGCTCCTCTGATAGCCGGTGGGGACTCTAATCCTGCTCCCTGCTTCATTCGGCTCCGGGGAAGCAGAATGAAAGGGAAACAGAGAAAGAGAGAGAGAGAGGAACCGTGAGCAGCGCGTACTTTTCCTGTACACATGTAGGAAGAGATGACACAAGATCCCACAGACAGGTTTTCCCAACACTCACTAGACTGGCTGACAATGGGAGAACAGGCAAGCTCAACCCACTCCCCTTCCCTCCTGTCACAAAACACATGCAAAAAACATCTCGTAGAGATTAGAGCCGGGAGCAGAACCCTCCAGCGTGCCTGTGAAAGGCATGTAGCTATAAATTTACTTCCCAAGGCAAGCGTTGTTTTATAGCCATTTTAGGTGCAATTTTGATTTAAAAAATCTGAATTCTGCTACCTACATAATTTATAACTCATGCTTATCCTATAATTCTGCTGAACTTGTGTTTTATCTGTTTGTATGCATATGTATGTATAAATATATACATATACATATGTATATGTGTGTATCTGCATATCCTTTCATCAATATAACTTTAACCACTGAAGGTTTTAAAGCCTTGTTAGAGATCGTTCCCTCCTCCCTACAAGCCCACTTGGCTCAACCACCTCCTTCCCCGCCCCACTGCAATTTCAGCAAAGAAATTCCTAGTAAAGCCCATTTCAACAATCAGTTCAAGACAAATATAGGTCCACTGAGAATTATAAATTACAACAGGGTATTCTCAAAAGGATACTCAGAACTTAAAAACATCTATGGTTTTCCAGCTTCTGGAATGCTCTGGTTAACATTTTTAATGCATCACATCTCATTAATTAAAGCCACTTCCAGAGTTTTGGTTTAAAGGGCAGAGGAAGATGACAAAGTTCACCAAAGTCCCTGCTGAGCGTTCATGCTGAGGACCAACATGAAGAAAATATCTCTGTGTCTTCATGAGCTGATAAGGGTTACTAAGTTTTCGGTGGATGCATGCATGTAATCAGGCAGTCATACAACATCATTAGTTCTTCCCTAAATGGGCATGGGAATATATATAGTCTAAGGTCTTTACGTACTGTCTTCTATTTTTCTTTTATTTTTCCCCAAAGCTGATATTCTTACAGGATTTTGGTAGGTGAGATATATAAGTTAACAGGACAGAACTTTCCCTTTTTTACTCTTTACTCCCCAAATCTTTCTGCCCTGCACTCTCCCCAGCCTCTACCCTCAAACAACATAGACACTTGAAACACAGAAGCGAGAACTCTACTTTAATAATACAGAAATCTCTTATCTGAAAGCAGAAGGTGAGTCTCACAATTGAAAACACACTCATTGAAAGTGCTTTAGTAGTCTTGGAAAGAAATGACCTGAGCATTGTGACTACAGCTTTCATTACCTAATATCTACCAATAGAAAAAGAGCTTCCCGTCTATGTGCATGCGTGTGTGTGTGTGTGTGTGTGTGTGTGTGTGAGGAGGAGGAAGAAGAGGATGAAGAGGATTTAAAGGGGGAATAGAGGAAGGGAGTGGGCAGTGATTCTCTCTCTGCTTGACTAGATTGATTCATCAGACAGGCCAGTATTGTTTTTGTCAGTTTCTACAAGCCAATTGATAAGTCCGTATTGTTAAGAAAATCAAATCCAAAAATAATGTTGATTTTACTGACCCCCGCACTTGTTATCCTGAGCACTTTTCATGCTCTAGGCAATGGATTAAGGCTATATACGACAGGAGATTTGTCTGTCTTCCATGGATTACTCCCTCTAGACATTTATTCTGCAAAGGAATTCGTGCCACTTTGGGATTATTTAAAGGACCAGACTAATGAATTATCCCATTGAAATATCACAAATAATCAGTTTAAATACTTTAAGTAGTTGTACCATTTTCATTAATATATATTTTAAGTGTCTTAAAATATTTACTTTTCTCTATCTCTTGTTACCCAGAGTAGGAGAGCACGTTTATATTTGTCAAAACTGAACAGGATAAACAAATTTAGAAATGTATCCATTTCACTAGCATAATGACTAATCCTGAAACATTTTGATGTGTTCCAGGAAAAATAAAAGGTTCTAGGTAAATTCAGTTAAGAGAGAGTCAAAATTGACTCCATGGCAAAGAAAGACATTCAATCTGGATTTCAAACCACCAAATCAGGATAAACTTTTGTAAAACAAATAATTTAATGTTGAAGCCTAGAATTTGGTAACAGGCACGTCTGTTTTGTTACCCACACACATAATCTTAAAAGAACAAAATAAAACTTTGGTATATTTAATTATATTTGATATTGATCTTACTCTCAATTTTTATGATCATTGTGTCCTTTCAGATGTTTGAAAATTTTATAAATTCACATTTACATTTACAAAAATTATCTGTGTAATTTTTAATTAAAAATGTAAAAATAGTAAATTATTTAGGCAAGCATGACTGTCCTGGGATGATTAAATTATAACATAGTAGGATAGGACAACTATATATAGTACGTTTGAAATGTGATTAAAAACAAAGGAACAAAAAAGAAACTACATGGCTATAAAATACTTTTAAAAAGTATTAGGAATCTTGTACGTTTACTTCTTTCAGTCTTTTGACTTTGGTCAGGGTTAAATAAGGTCAATTTCAATATTTTTTAAATCACCAAACAGGTGAGAAATAATCAAAGGTAAAACTACTTCTCTACAGAGGGGGGTAGAACTGGGTAGGTGTGTATGAGAATTTATAAAATGTGGTTGCATGTGTGACATACAGACTTTGATTGACCCCCTCTCCCCAACACTGCTCCCATCCCCCACTTCCAAGGAACATCATTCCCTGCTCTGAGAATCTGTGCCCTAAGCCTTGACATTATCAAGCCTGCTAAATATATCTCCTTAGCCATAGATTTTACTGAATTTACTACTTTTTAAAAGTCAGAAAAATTATATTGATCTTTTAATATTGAATTTTATTTAAGTAAAAGGTGAAAATGTTATCTTGCTTCTTTCTCAAGGCAGTCTCTCTATTTTCAATTACTTTAAAACCCAAAACCTACATCATGGGGTATAATTAAGTCTACTCACAACTAAGTTCCTAATATCTTCTTAAGTTTCAACTTTTCAGATGTGATTAACTCCTACAACAGGGTCAAATTTGAGCAGGTGCCTAATATGATGATCAGGCTGTGGTATATATTTCTGTGAAATGAATCAGTGGTTTTTAACCTCACCTCATTCTGTATTGAAATAGATTACAAAGACAGCAGTTTTCTGGATGGTTTGCTTGATTTTTTAGAGAAACAACACTTCCAACTTCACAACAAGTTGGTTAACTCTTGCTTTTCAGTAAAAAACTGTATAGTCATAAAACACATATTAAAGCATTTCTCCATTGGAAATTCATATCTGATCTTTTGATGAATTGCATAAAACCAATGTGCATATTTCTCTAATTTTGCTATTTCTTATAAAACTAATTGGGAAGACAATAAACATTACAATTTAAGAGCAAAAATTATTGTTCTGGTATATGAGGTGGTCTTTCAAACACTTCCCTATGTCATAAATACTCTGAATCTTTCTATGAATGGCAGGTAAAAACATTTGCTGTATTTATGCATAAAAAAGTATAGGGACCCTGGCTGATGTGGCTCAGTGGATTGAACACTGGCCTATGAAACAAAGTGTTGCCAGATCAGTTCCCAGTCAGGGCACATCCTTGGGTTGCAGGCCAGGTCCCCAGTGTGGGGTGCGTGCTAGAGGCAACCACATTGAAGTTTCCCTCCCTCTCTTTCTCCCTTCCTTCCCATCTGTCTAAAAATAAATAAATAAAATATTTAAAAAAAAAGAATATAGGGAAATATGTATTGTTTAGATGTATTTAAAAAAGATTTACTGGATTAAATGTACTTAAAGTTATGGTCATTTTATTAAACACCCTAACCTCTCCCTGCAATCCTATTCCACCCTAACCCCATTTTATTGTAGTTAGATAGAGGAACACCCCCAAAGTATATCACTGACAGAAGTAGATGATCTCTATAAGAAAAATTACTGAGTTAAGACTTTCAAAGTAAGTTGGTTTACCAGTTTTTCTAAGAAACAACATCAAGGAAAAATATATTAAAAACAAACGGAAAAATATCAGTACTCTTTCCAAGATGTTGTTCAGTTGTTAAAAAAAAAAGGAAAACCTATATTAGTTTTTATCTAACACCTATTATTTCTACTTTTGCCTTCAAGAGAATGCTTCATTAGTATATGAGAAAGGCCTATGATAACAGAATTAAAGTAAATGTCATAGTCGAACATTTGCCCTTGTTGTGACATCTCATGTTGGAAATTCATTTTTAATGAGGATTTTTCTGGTACAGGGAATTTGAAACTTTTTTTTTCTAAAAATGAATTGTGTGGGTGAAAACATTCTTTAAAAGATCAGAAGACATTCTATTAATTGGAAAAATGAAATAGTTGATGTATTATTCCTTTCAGCAAAAAAATGATAGCTATTTAAGAATTACTGCAGTAGTCGCTAGAAACTGGGCGCGGCAGGTTAAAAGTAATATTTAAGAAATTGTTAAACTTTTCATAATTTGACCCTGTGAGTGTTTTAATATAAGCAACATGTGAAACCATGAGCTGAGAGGAGGAATTGGTAAAAGACAGAGGGAATTCAATCTTTAGGGAGGCATTCTCTTCTCCCTCCCTGCCGCCCCCCCCCCCCGCCCCCGCTCCCCCCGAACCCGGCCTTCATGAATACAGATTTCAATA